GTGGATACTATGACCTGAGAGGTGACCCAGTCCAACTGTCCCATTTTATACATGAAGAAACTGAGACTAGGGAGGACAGATAGTGAAGGCCCAGGCAGTTTGGTTTTAAATGGTGAAGCTCAGGTCCACATGATGCCTTTTTAAAAGAACTGTCTCATTTGGAAGAATTTGCCCCTTCTAATCACTAGGGGAAAGGAGAGAGAGAGAGACAGAGACAGAGACAAATACAGAGAGACAGAGACAGAGATAGAGAGACAGAGACAGAGACAGACAGAGACAGAGACAGAGACAAACAGACAGACAGACACAGAGACAGGGACAATCAACGACAGAGACAGACAGACAGAGAGAAGATCTAGTGGTCCCTTCAGCCAAACTATCCCTCCAGCGGGATCTGAAGTGAGTATCATGAAGGCAACCTTTTTCAAGGAAAGCATTTTAAGGAGGTAAGGAAGAGATCCAGTAAGTTTTTCATAATCATATTTTCTCAGCAACGTGACACCCCTTTAACAAATCCTTCAAGGTAGCGACTCTGTCCAGAACAGAACAGAACAGAACAGAACAGTTTTGGTGCGCAGCAGGATTAAGTTATTACGACCTACCGGACAGCTAAGGGTGCATCACTCCCGAGCGCTGAAATTCGCCCCGCTCCCGGCGCAGTGACTCACCTTGGCCCAGAAGGACTCCGCTTGCTTTGGCTGCGCTGAGGAACGGGGGCGAGAAGCGCGCCAGCTGGTCCAGCGCCTCCTGGGTATGCCCAGGCCGAGTGCCCGCGCTCCCTGCTCAGGGCTCACTGCGCTGCCTGGGCTGCCCTTGCCTCTCTGACAGCCCTGTGGCTGATAGGAGCGGAGTGCCGCCGCATGACTGCTTTCAGGCTGGAGAGCATAATTAGACATATCGGGACGAGGCGCCCCTTTTCAGGGCTGGAAAGCACCAGACGCAGCTGCCGCTTTTGGCACCTGCTGGCCTCGAAACTGGAGCGTTCTAGATCATTCAAAAGGGGAAAAGGGACTTAAAAGCTGGGTTTTGCTCCAGATGCGGCGTTCTTGGGAGTGAGTGCTTCCCTTTTTTTCTCCTCCTGCTCCCTATGATTTAAGAATATACTGCGGGACTGAGGAAAGTGTAGCGGAAGGTCCAAGGATTCCTGGTGTGATCTCAACACTAACACAAACTGTGTCTCCATCGCCTTCGCTAAAAATGGGGAGAATTATCCCAGCTTCATCCCATCTCCAGGGAAGAAACCACCTATATATGCCTTTATTACAAAGGACTCTGAGCTCTCCTGCTCTTGGCAGTATTACAGATAATGTGTGACTGAAATCAGACTTTGTATGGTCACTACTCCCCAATAATCTCAAAACAATTTCCAGTTTAAGTAGTGACACCACCCCTTCCCTCCGAGACGCAGCCACCTCTAAGAAACAATAGCCTACCCCCAAGAACAGCCATAACCAGGAGGGGAGCTGGGCTAGCCTTATGGGTAGGTTGTCTGCTCTAGCATGATACTGAAATTACCCCTAAACCCTTCTCTTCCTCTAATTTGCCATTTGGGGCTTGAAATCCCCAACCGTTAGAAATCAATATTTTTGGATATGAAATTTAGTCTTCCAGCTTTTAAGATGTGAATATCCCTGGCAAGGACAACACATTAAGTTATTTTAGCTATTAATACTCTAGGCTTTAATTCATTTATCAGGGTTTTTTTTTTCCAAAGAGTCATCTGGTAAGTTTTTGAGATAATGAAACACAGATCCAATACATTTTAAGTTAAAGGAGTTCTGAGTTAAAGGAAAGAAAGGTGCAGGGCTTGAAGTGTGGCCCAAGAGAAGAGGCCTGGGTGGGGCACCATAAGGGTGAAAGGCACATAGTGTGGGGAGAACTGATAAGGAGGAAAGAGCCTTGGAAAGGTTCAGAGGGAGGGCATGAAGACAAACTTCACTTAGTACACAATTTGGCCTAGGACTGGCCCTGATAATAGTGATGATTTTTTTTTAAAAGACCCTGCTATAGCAGAAAAATACATGGATTGGATCCTTGTAGTTTATTTCCCAAGGGAGGAGCTGATGGAACACTAATAACATCTATTTTGTTCATTTATTCTATTCTATAACCATAATCCACCTGCTTATACCAGATATTAGAATAAGAATAAAAGGAAGCTTTAGTTTTGAAACATTTCTACTGAAGCATTAACACAATCCTTAAATAACACAGCTTTGAGTACTCTGAGCAATTCCCCTGGCATAGGGCCTGCACCAAGAAAGCACTTGAGAAACAGCCCTGACTCCTTAACAGATGTAAGAGTAGGGTTCTGAGGAGCCCGGAATACCAGGAGAGTCTCCAATGCACTTACACTCTCTCTCCTCCAGAAGTCTAAGCATCTCTTGCTTCAACAACTCATTCCTGCGGTTAATCATGGACTGCCTTGTTCTGTTTCTTAATATTTTAGGGGTAGCTGTGTAACCTGAGGCAAGACAACTCTGGGCCTCAGTTTCCTCATCTGGTAAAAGAAAGGAATTGAATTGGGATACAAGTTCTTAACATAGGGTCTATAAATTAAAAAAAAATGGATAGCTATTTCAATATAATTGGTTTCCTTTGTAATCCTATGTATATTGTTTTTATGAATTAAAAGCATCATTCTGAAAAGGGACAATAGGCTTCACCCAACTGCCAAAGGGGTCCAACAGACAAAAAAATGTTAAGAACCCCTGGACCCTGTTATCTATAGATCTTTGGGTTCTAAAGAAGTCAGGGATTCTATATGTATATCTTGGCTCTTCAGCTGGAAGCTGAAGCTCTTCCCTCCTCAGAGGCTCTATATCACACTTTTCTCTCTCCTAGATTGCTTTGCAGATTTTAGTTGTTTAATTATTTTTAAGTCCTGTCTGACTCTTCGTGACCCTATTTGTGTTGTTGTTGTTTTTTTTGCAATGATACTGAAGTGGTTTGCCATCTCCTTTTCCAGCTCATTTTAAAGACGAGTAAACTGAGGAAAATAGGAGTTAAATGACTTGCCCAGGGTCACACAGCTAGTAAGTGACTGAGGCCAAATTTGAACTCTGGAAGATGAGTCTTCCTGACTCCAGGCCTGGCGCTCTATCATTGCGCCACCTAGCGGTCCTATATCTGCTTTGCAGATAGCAGGTGCTTAATAAATGCTTTGATTTTCAAAAGGGTCATCATCTTAAAAATTGGTTTTAGTATGGTGACCCAGATGCCCCTGGTGTGTGAAAGCATTTTATTCTCCCATATAGCTGCATTGGTTTTTCAGCCAATAGCTGTATTCCTTTAAAGAAAAAAAGGACAATGCTGGGTGAGTTGATTTTGCTATACTGCAGCAGGTAGGTGATGGTGCAGTGAATAGAGTGCCAAACATGAAGTTGGAAAAAAACCTGAGTTCAAATGCTCCCCCAGATCCTGCCTAGTTTTGTGTCCTTAGCAAGTCACTTAACCTCTGCCTGACTCAATTTCCTCATTTCTAAAATAAGAGTAATAATAGAACCTTACCTCCCAGGATTATGAGGATAAAATGCGATCATATTTGTAAAGTGCTTTGCAAACCTTAAAACGCCATATAGATGCTAGCTATTGTGGTTTTTCTTCTTTTTTAATCCTTGTGACAGAGGAAGGCTTTTTGAGTAAGGTAAAAAAAGAAGATTTTGTTTGAAAATGTATGTGATGTTAAAAAAAAAGACATACTTTTTAAATGCTAGGTGAAATGTTTTATCTCCCTGTTATCTTTTTGATATACATTTGCTGAATGTGATAGCTCACCATGAAGATGACCTGTCTTTTGAGCCTCTGCCTTCCTCTGAAAATGTCAGTCTTAACCCTGCATGAATGAATGACCAGTTGGGCTCCATCGACCTCCCCATGTTACTTCTTTTTATAGCCTACCTGATAAGATACTTTTATTTAGACCTGAGGGTTACATGGGGTCTGCATGTCCCTGGCTTCCATTCCATTTCCTTTTTCTCAGCAGCTTTCAGAGCTAACCCTGCTTGGCATTGTGCTGAAATACTAAGGACATACATTTTCTCAAGGTACCAGAATAGGAGGATTCCCTTAAGTCTAAAACAAATAACTACTGGTTGCAATGAAATAAATTTCTCTGAGTAATAGCAAACTGCAGAGAAAAATTTAATCACCTGTCATGAAGCCTCCACCATACTTAATCAACATATAGATCACCTCCACTAGAGATCAACACATTGAAAATAGAGTATATTAAAAATAATATTGTGCTAGGTCATATAATATTAACTAAATAATTAACTAAAATTTACAAAGTTTGTACTTTAAACAGAGATTGTCTCATTTGGGCCTCACGATGGCCTGTGAGGTAGGTGCTACAGATATTATCACCAATTTACAGATGAGGAAAATGAGGCTCAGAAAATGAGGTGTGTCCATGGTCATACCATCATTAAATGCTAGAAATGGAATTTTAAACTAGGTCTTTGCTGACTTCAAGTCCAACACTTTTTCATTCTACCCTGGACAGATCTTCCTTAAAACATCAGAGTGCAGAATAGGATATTAAACAACTGAAAAGCATATGTATCTGGCATGATGATTTGAGTGCTCATTCTAAGACATTTTTCAAAAATAGGACAGATGCCAAGGTGAGCTCAACAGCTGCTGATAAAACCAAATGAAATTTCCCTTGTCCAAAGTTTCCAGTTCAGTCCTATTAAAATTCTCAAATCTCAGAAAACCTTCTCTAGTAGCCCTTTCCTATGTCCCTGCATGGGTACCTAGTCTCAGGCTCTAATCTTCCTTTATTTTTCATCTTTTTTCCCCCTTTTTTCCCCTTTCTTTCTCTTTTTTTTCCTTCCTTCCTTCCTTCTTTCTTTCTTTCTTTCCTTCTTTCTTTCTTTCTTTCTTTCTTTCTTTCAGCAGAGGGGTCCAATTGAGTAACCATTAGAATTTTATCTGAGTTTCTAAGTTAATCCACTTCTGTACCTTAAAGTCAGACCCATGTGAGAGGTACTTACATGAGAATTATGGCAGCTCGTTCTTGATCTGAAGAAGTACTGTTCTTGGATGAAGGGCTGTTTAAATAGTTGTGCTTACTCACTCCTTGGATAGCACGTTTCCTTACGTGTGTATGTGTGTGTGTGTGTGTGTGTGTGTGTGTGTGTGTGTGTGTGTGTGCGCGCGTTCATGCAAGTACCTGAAAAACCTGCAGTGTAGGGTAGATGAAAATGACAGAAAGTATGTGGATGCTAAATCTGTCCTGGTTATTCAGGTTTGCTGTGCAGTCCATTCAGGCAATGGCATCAGAGGTGGCTATGAAGTTTTCTCACTATTCTAGTCTCTTCTTTTTCCACCAATAAAGGATGGACCTGTCCCGAGGTTGGAAGGAGTAAGTCAGGTCCAGACTGTGTGGGAAACAGAGCAGGGTTCTGAGACCCTTCTAACTTTCTTGCTTTGAATGGGACTTTCAGTTAGACATTGCATCACTTCAAAACATCCGCCTTGTGAGGTTGGTTTCATGAGATCCATTGACTATATGCCAACTGAGTGTCAGCCCACGGTTGCCTAATTAACAAGAAGTTGCTTTCCTACTGGAACTGAATGTACAAAATAGAGTGGCTAAGGGGAAGAGTCATGCTGGGATGATACTGTTTTTGTTCAACATCAAAAACTGTTTTAATCTGATCTCTTCAATTCACATTGTTATTTCTCTCCTGTTTTTCTGCTCCCTTATAAGACAATTCCAAACACAAGAATTGAAACACTCCTAACAGGAGTGAAATCAAAAGACTGGATGTGTTTGTGTATGCATCTGTGAGAAGGAGTGCTGAGCCTGCCTGTATACCTGTCTGTCACCGTTGGTGGAAATGTTACTGAGGGTGCTTGAGGTATAGCATGCAGGTGTTGAGGCACTGGCTTGTTACCTTTTTTACTTATTAGCTGCATACAATAGTCATTGATTGTTTGCAGCATGCTAAACCCATTAGGTGAGATTATTTGTGTGAATAAGAGAAGGGAAAAGTTAGCCTTGGGGTGAGATTGGGCATGGGAATGTCTGTGTGTATTTATTTCAGCACATACCATGAGAAGGTAAGTGCTTGCTTATTTTTCTCTTTTACCTCTGCATTAATTTTTTTTCCTTTGGACAAAGAAAAGACCCAGATGATTCTCTTGGAAACAGTGGCCGCATGTGAAAGAAAGAAAAAAATGGCATGCCATATTCCTTCTTCTTGATAAAAAAAAATTAAAGCGTGAAGGAAGATAAGTATTTTTGTACATCTGTGGACAAAACGTGTACCTGGTATCTGAACAAAGAGTACCTTGGTTACCAGGGAAACTATTTTATTTTCTGGTCTACCCTCTAGGCTCAGCAGTGATACAAGTCTATTTATTCTTGTCTCTCTAATTCTGTGGACACAAGGACTGTGTCTTAAACATTAGAACTGGATAGAAACTTAGAGAATATCTAATACAATCTCCTCATTTTTGCCCAGGGAGGGGAAATGATTTCCCAAAGTCAAACATTTAATAACTGGATTATTAGGACTTCAATTCAAGTTTTAAAAAATTCCAAGTCCAGTTGGTTTTGTGTTACAGATTTTGCTCATGAAATGATTAATGATATATCATATTTATATGTGTTAAAATCTGCATACTCCTTTTTTTTCTTTCCACCACCTCTGAACACACAGAAATCCTAGGTCTCTTCACTTTGCAAATGAGGAAACTGACACCCAGGAAGCTATGTAAGCCCAAGGTCACACAGGTCACCATAAATTGGTTCCAGAGCCAGAGATATGCTAGAACCAGCTCTAACTGGCTGGCAAGATAATTGTTAAATTTTCAGTGTGGGCATTTACGTTTCATAAATCTGCAAATGCTAAAAATCAGGGTTTGGCTTACTGTTTTGCTAGTGTTTTGACTTCAGAAAGTAATGGAGAAAATGTTAATAATGCAGGTTAGATTTAAAAGTGGGTCCTGTTAACATTTTTTTTAAAACTAGAGAACCAGTTGTTAAACATTTACCAGCACACCCCTATCCCAAACCAAAATCCAAGTCAGGGTAGAGCCTGGGAGGGATACCCTTGTGAGACTAGCTGCCATACTGGAAAGGAAGGATCAGAGAAATGAATTGAGTACTAGGAAAAAAAGAGGCCAGACCTAACTACCCTCCCGTGCAGCAAGGTATGATTAGTGGAGAGACAGAGTGAAGGATTTGGCTTTGGAGAATATGGGTTTGAATTGTGCCTTTATTACCCTCCCCCTGACCCTCCCCCTTATAGCAAATCACTTCCATTCTCCGGGCCTGAGTTTCCTCCTGTAAAAAGAAAAAAAATGACATGAAACAAAGAAAGAAGGGAGTTGCATTAGATGACGTCTGTATTGCCTTTAAGTAAATCTGTTAGCCCTTTGCTTGGTGACCTCGTGCTCTTGTTCGGGCCAGTAAAACCTACCACAGCTCCGGCAGGGTGCCCGGGCAGGGGATGGGGCGGGGGGAGGCAGCCCCGTCTGTTCACTTTGGACGCTCCGTGGGCCTCAAGCCGTTTCCCCCGACTCCAGTGAAACCTTACAGACTCATTTGCTGTGACGCTTGATCGTCCCTGCTGCCCTCGAGCCCTAAGTGAGGTCACCCCACGTCTGCCTACTGGTTTCAGTTCTCCCCTGTTCCTTGTTTCTTTACCTGCCTTTACCATTCAGGAAGAAGGATTACCTTGGTTCTCAGAAAAACAGAAACAGCTTACACACAGGGCCATCGATTTAAAGCTGTAAGTGGCCTTAGAGACTCCCTCGTCCAGGCCTTCTCATTCTGCAGACAAGAAAATGAGGACCACAGAGCTTGCCCGAGATCTCACAGCAGCAAGGAGCAAAGAGTCAGCATTTGAACCCAGGCCCTCTACCTCTAGATCTATTACTTTTCCCATTTTCTCATCCTGCCTCCAAATAAGGGATAGCAGTCTTGGGTGCATGTATGGATCCTAGGCCATTTTTCACAATTGACTGCAAGATTCCAGGGGGGCAGCTAGGTGGCGCAGTGGATAGAGCACCGGCCCTGGAGTCAGGAAGATCTGAGTTCAACTCCAGCCTAAATCACATAGCACTTACTAGCTGTGCGACCCTGGGCAAGTCACTTAACCCCATTGTCTAGCCAAAAAAAAAAAAAAGGATTCCAGGAATGCTCCATTAATTTCTCTGGACTCATAGAGTCATAGAACCAAAGAGTTGGAAGCGATGTTAGATTTCAAGTCTACCCTTCCATTTTACAGATGAGGAAACTGAGTCACAGAGAAGACAAATATAATGTTATATTAATATGATATAATAATATATTAACATGATATAATCAAATAATATTATCTAATGTAGATAATATGTCATAATATTATATAATGCACAATACTGTATTATAATACTATCATATAGTATCCTATTAAGTATCAAATCATATTATTACATTATATCATATTATAATAATAATTAGCATTTACATAGTGCTTTAAGGCTTACAAAATGCTATACAAATATTATTTCATTTGATCCTCACAAAAAACCTGAGAGGTAGGTGCTTATTATTATTCTCATTTTACAGACAAGGAAACTGAAGCAGACAGAGGTTAAGCTCCTTGCCCAGGGGTCATACAGCTGATAAGTGTCTTGGGCAAGATTTGAACTCGTATCTTCTTTACTGCGTTTCCCTTGAACTCTGTGCCACTTTGCTGCCTCAACTTTCTGACTCTTCTTTCCTTCTCCCTGATTTTAGACTGGTCATACTGTCCTGCTGGGAATGCTGGGAAAAGCACTACAGAAAATTAAGAAAAATAATCTGCAAGTATTTCTATAAATACTTAAGACTAACGTCTCTAGTCACTCCTCAAATCTGATTTATTACAGTGGAATTTGACATCCCCATTCTCTTCCTGTCTTCTGATATTCCCATTTGTGGCCTTTAGCTAAAGCCTGGGAAATGTGGACTGCTGTCTTGCAGCTGCGTTCCAGCCAATTCTGATGTTCTTTAGTTTTTTTTCATCAATTCTCCCTCTCCTCCAGGCTGTTGAGAACCCTGTTGTCAAGTTTTAAATTTACTCCTTCCACCAATGTCCCTGTCCCTTCGTTTGGATGTTCTAGACCAGAATTCTTAATATGGTATCTGTAAACTTGTTTTTAAAAAATATTTGATAACTATATTTCAGTATAATTCAGTATGTCCTTTGTAATCCTATTTATTTTATTTTACGTATTTAAAAACATTCTGAGAAGGGGTCCATTCCAGACTTCTAAATGGCTCCATGAGACAAACTTTCTCCATAGTCACAGGATCCTGGGAGCTACTTCAGGGAGAAGTTTAAGCCCTAATAGTTCTGTTTCCTCACTTCTGCTCTAGTCCATTATCTAAGTCAGAATCCTCCTCCTACCTCTTCTGTCAGTTCCATCTTCGAAGATCAAAGCTTTGACTTTCTCCTCTCTCTCCATTTGGGCCTAAGGGATTTTCTCCTCCATTAGCAACAGGATTTCTTCTACCTTCTGTTTTGGAATTATACATGCTCTTAATTCATCTGGCCCTTTGCTTGGGGCTTAAATCAAGTGAGAGCTTTCAGGACCTTGGTTTTTAGATCCTGACCCTTCAACTGAATGAGGCTCAGAGAGAGTGAGGCCTAGGGAGGAAGGGAAGATTTGTGGGAAAGTGAGGCCTAGGGAGAAAGGGAAGGATTGTAGGAAAGTGATAGGCACATTGAAAGCCATCATGCAGTGACTATTCTTGACTTTAGAGGATGATGGTGACCTCTTGTTAAAGAGATGGTAGATTATAGGTACAGAATGATGAATATGTTGTCAGATTTGACCAACATATTGGTTTGTTTTGCTTAAAACATCTTTTGTGTTATGAAGGGAGGTTCTATGGGGGGTGGAGGGGAGGGTTGAGGAGGTGTCACAGGGAGGTGACAGTACTGATTTTTAAAAAGCACCAAAAATGTTTATTTATGTAAAATAGGATTTTTTAAAAAGTACTAAGAATAGTTTTTCCTTAACCATATATGTCTTGCTTCTCTTTCTGACATCAGCATGACTTTTGAAGCTGCTGGAGTGCTGGCATTCTTCTAAGGGCCGGGTGTGGAGCCTGACTTCTTAAGAGAATATCCCTAATATGAATGATAGGGAGTTATAGGTTGGCCACCCAGGTGTCTAATTAACCTAGCTCACTAAACTCCTTTCTCTTTTTCCCTTTGGGGGTGGAGAGTAGAAGTTTTATCCACTAATACAAATTAATTCAAGGACCAGCCTGCAGTCATAAGCTAGGTGCCTGAGTGATACATGGAGATTATAGGATTTGGAGATGGAAGGGTTCTTAGAAATTATCTAATTCAAAATCCCAATTTATGGATGAGGAAACTGAGGCCTAAGGAGAGAAATGTCAA